CCCAGAACATGGCCGAGTCCTCCAGCTACGCTGGTGAGTGTCCCCGTCCCCCACTGAGGAACCACTGCTCCTCCGGCCCTGGGAGCATCCCCCGCCCCCGTGCAAGCCACCCTCTGCTTCATCCCCAGGGGAGGCGTACGCAGGCACCCAGGCCAGCTCGGACACCGACCTCCTCAACAGGTTCATCTTGCTGAAGCCAAAGTCCTCCTCAAGTGACAAGCCTGAAAGCAGGGAGCCCACATCGTCCCCATGAGCCGGCAGGGAGGGTGGACCACATCAGGGGTCCCCATTTTCTTCCCAAGGGGTGGCAAGGATGCAGGCAGCCACCCCTCCGCATCCCAAGGAAGACCGAGCTGGGACATCCTCCGTGCCAAGCCCTTGAGAGAGCCGGCGCTGGCTCGTGCCCTGGCCTGACGTTAGCGGAGGTGATGGCTGGCTCAGCCTCGACTGACTTGAAATATATCTTGAATATCCGTATTATAAGAGATTTTTCCTTCTCACACAAACTTCGTGGCCACCGAAGAGCCCTCGGGCAGAGATGCTCAGAGGTTTTTTAACGCTTGGGGATCCAGCTGGGAGGGGGAGCAGAGAGCAGGGGTGAAGAAAGTCAATGTTTTTTTTTGGGGGGGAGCAGTCTGGAGCATCACCCTGCCACTGGGACAGGGCAGGGCTGGAGGATGCTGCTGTGCCAGGCTGAAGGCATGGGGCACCAGCATCTCACCCCCACACCCCATGAAGAGTGGGGTGCTCCTGGGGACACCCTGCCACCCCTGAGCTGATTCTTGCACTTCTTGAAGCTATTTAAACACTCGCTGTAGAATTGAGATGTCTCAGGAGAAACTGGTTTTCGTTCCAGAGGGGTCCAAGCCCCACCCCAGCACCCCTCGCTCCTCCACCCACAGCCGCTATCCCCGGCTACGGCACTGGTTTATCTGCTGGTGGGCAATCCAGGGACCTGTTTTGGCCAGTAGCATCTGTCCCTCAAGGGGCAGCCTTGCAGATATAAGAAGTCCCGGAGCAGAGAAGCTCATGCAGAGGAGGGAAGAGCCGTGTTTCTCCATGCATTGCCCTCATCCTCGCTCCCTCCTTGCCCACCACTGCGGCCGGGTGAAAGCCCTTGCCTGGCGGGGAACTGGGCTTCATGTGCTGAACTCAAAAGCAATTGATTTTTTCTCGTTCTCCTATTTAACTGACCTCCTTTAGAAGGGCTATCTTTTTATTGCCGTGCAAACCTTGGTGTTTCTTTGGAATTTTCTTTTGGTCTAGGTTGGGTGGTCAGTGGTTTTATTTCCACCCTTAAAGGTCCAGGTCTGTGCTTTTGGGACAGGGAGTGTCGTGATGTGGGAATCTGTGGTCTGTAAATAGTGTGTCTTGGGTTTGTGTAGCTTGTGTCTGAGGCTGGGGAGCTGCAGGGGAGACAGCAGGATGGAGAAAGGCTGCTCCCTGCTCCTCGCAGCATGGCCGGGTGCAGAAGGGCTCATCAGCACCCCAGCTCCGCCCGGCAGCACGTCCTTCCCCAGGTGAGAGGTGTAACCCACTCTTTTCCTGGCTGCACACCTCATCTGGAAAAGATTTAACATTTATTACCAAAAATGTTTGAGTTTTCTTTATTTTAAGGAGTTGCTCAATTAATAAATAACCCTTATCCACCCTTCCTGTTTGTCTGTTCCATCCAAACGCACTCAGGACATGCAAGTGGGAGTAGTGCCTGCCAGAGAGAAAAATGCTGACGGGGAGAGATTTCCCAACGCTGCTGGCAGCGTGCTTGGCTCGAAGCTTTGTTCTGCCTCCAGCCACTGACAGGACATTTCAAGGGAAGCCCTAAAGCTGCTGGGGAGGGGAGAAGGGTGAAGTGAGTTGCACCCAAGTGAAGCAGAATGCCAGCACCCCAACAGTCACCCCTCACCTCCAGCCAACGGCAGCCCCGGGGATGTGGCAGGGCAGTGTGGGCTCCAAGTCCCTGGGCAAAGGAGTTTCAAGCCGCCTCATCTCTCAGCTCTTCCAGAATTGTGCTGGTTCGGTTATCCATGCCATGGATAGTGCTGGCAGAGCGCTGGCAGAGCACTGGCCTCAAGGCAAGACAGCCACGCTAGCCAAGCCGCGCTCCCTCCAGGGACGAGGACAGATCCCGGGGAGCTGTGCCACAGCCAGCTGTGCCATGACACACCGAGCAGCAGCCCGGCTGCAGCAGCTCTTCCCTGGAGCAGAAGGCAGTGCTGGCTCGGGCTGCTCTCTCCAGCTCAGTGCAAACACCCATCCCTGCTCCCCGAGCCGTTCCCATGCTGGGACGAGCACAGTGGCACACACACCTTCCCCTCCCTCCCAGCCACCGCAGTAAGGAAGAGACAGATCTCTCCAGGAAAGTGCCACCAAGAAGCTCAGCCCAAGTCCTGCTGGGCACTGAGGGAGGGGAGAAGGGCTGACCCAGGCAGCTGCTGCCACGGTGGTTGGCTTGGGACCTGCCCCAAGGTCCAGCCCAGCACACAACCTGCCTTGGGGCACATTCGAAGCTGTCAGGTGGGGATTATTCGTGACAGAGTCCCTGCCACCCCAGCTCCTAGCATAAAGATTATACAGCCCGTGGGAAGAGCCTGCTCCAAAGGAGTCTTTAAATACAGCTAAGCCTGCTGGCCCATCTGAGCTCCCCTGCAGCATCTCGCTTACCAGCCCAGCTTCAAACATCTGCTTTAAACGTAGCACTGGATCGGTAAACGACGGGCTGCCTGCTGGAGGGGGTTCTGGTCTCCTCAGGAGATAATGTCAAGAGCAGCAATCAGCAGTAGAGAGCAATGCTCCATCCGAGGCAGATCTCATTAAGTTAATGTCTATTGGAGAGAAACAATGTGACATCTTCTCCTGCAGCCCCGGATGAGCTTTCAGGGATGACAGAACACGGGGGGTAAGGCTTTATTCAGCACAGTAAGGAATGGACATGCAAATAAGGTAGGGTTGTGTAACTGAGGTACGCGCTTCCCGATCCCACACGCCACGTGGCCAGAATCCAAAACTCTGGCCTAAACCTCTGGGATCGCTTAGGTAAAAAGCCGGTTCCAGCAAAGATGCTCACCAATTCGCTTCCCGCTTTACCCTACGCATCACGATGGCTCTCCCTGGGAACGGGGGCCAAAGAGGAGATGTCACCCACCAGCAGAGCTGGGCCAGGAGAGGCAGAAGGAGATGGGGAGGCAAAAGCCTCGGTCCAGAGTGCTGGAACCTTCTGCATCACTCATGCCTGAGCACTCTCTCGCAAGGGGCCACCTCAATTTATAGTGAGGACATCACTCTGAATCTCATGGCTCAGCTGAGTCTGGAGGTCACTCAGTTTCTTCTTCAGGCCAGACAGTGCAGAGAGAACAATGGTCTCTGGGCGCAGGGAACCGCAGGACTCCACGTTGTAATAAAACCTGAGGTTACAAGTCAGGGGAATAAGTCACTATCTGCCCTGCAAGGAGGTGCAAAACCAGAGAGCACCCGCAGAGCATTTCCAGCCCGTTCTGACCAACTGCAGGGAGATCTGCAGGAAAACCCAACCACCAGCATCATTCACCTCCCAAATGGGCAACAGCCAGCGCCGCCCCTCGGCAGCCGTCACCCCAACACTCATGACTCCATAGGCCGCAGGAGCACTTCTGAGATTTTCTCCATTCAGCACCGTGACCTGCGAGCCAGCACAGAGCCCGGCACCAGGGAGTAAGACTGGCTGCAGGCACTTCTGCAGTGCAAGTAACCCAGGAGAGGGGGTACCACCAGGAATCGGAGCATGAGAGATCCACGTGAGTGAATTACTATCCTAAGGCACTTTCCCCCGCAGGCCTCACACTTCACTGAGTGCTGCACTGCCCTGCTTGATAATACGAACTCACAAGAGCCATCTAGTATCACCCAGAGGGGAAAACCTGCCAGGCCTGGGCATATCACCAGTTAAATACAACTTCTGCCCTGTTTTTCAGGGAACACCAGCTCCCTGCGCTGGCAAACATCAGTGTAGAGTAGATACTCTTTATTAAAAATGAAAGCCAAACCCAGCCACTCCCCCCATTTTCCAGCTGCAGCAACACATTCAGCTTCCTACCTCTCTGGCTTCCCGTTGGGGTCATAGGGAGCCTGAGCATCCTCCTCATCGATCTCCGAGTACTCACTCTTGGGCCTGGAATCAAAGAGCAGAGAAGCTGAGCCAGCATGGAGCCCACGCTCTAGCCTGGTCCCATGGCACCCAGACACCCCGTGGCACCGTTTGGCCCCAGAGAGCCAGCACTGGGGCTCACACCCAGCAGGCAAAGGAGCTGTCATCAAACATCAAGTCATGGGAAAAAAAGCCCAATCCCATGTCGTCCTTTCTAGCTCCTCATTAATGCCACACAGTCACCCAGCAGCTCTGGAGGAAGAGGATCAGCCCCACTCTGCCCAAATTCAGCGAGCCCTGCGTGAGGTGCAGCATCTCCATCCACCTACGCTGGCACAATCTTGCAGGTGCTGGCAGCGAGGGGATGCCGATGCCTGAAGGAACCATGTTTATGGAGCCTGGATGCTGCTTATGAAGCAACGGAGCTTGCGTTTATCTTTTCTTTCTACTTTTCCTTGGGCCAGGAAGACACCGGAGCATGCCAACATGTGGCCTGTGCAGCACAGCTGAGGTGGGAAGGCCCCGGTCAGCTTGTGCCCAGCAGGAAAAAAGATCTCCTGTGCTTCAGCCACCAGCTGCCTCAGTGAGCCCGGTCCCAATGTCCTGCACCTCCACTCTTCTACACACATCACTGCAAGACCCGTGCATCAGCGAGGCCAACACAACCTCCTGCCTGTTGCACCGTACCAGAGAGACTGTTTGGAAGCACTGAATCCATGTCAGGACACCCAAAGCCTTGAGCTGTCTGAGAAGCCAGCACAGAAAATCCCACACCCACCAAGGTGTCCTGCTGGCCCTCCTCTGCACCAGCGATGCCAAGAAAGGCTGATCCTGGAACCCTGTCATCAGCTGCTTTCAATAAAACTGCACCGCCCAAACAAATCCTCTGTCTGTAACAAACCACCGAGAGATCAACTGTTAACGGAGATGGGTCTTCATGTTAGTCGCAAAACCACCCCTGAGGAAAAAGCGGGCAGAGGTTTCCACCAGCTGCTTTGAGAGTCCAGCTGGGTGCCAGTGCTCTGCCAACCACCCCACCAAGCAACTAGCACAAAAAAACAAAATAGAAACTAGCCTTGGATAGCAGAGGCCTTTGACTCTGTATTGTCTTCTCAGGAAATCAGATGAACTTGGAAAGACAGACAGATTAGGGAACAGGCAGTTCCAATGTCATTCTCCCCTTGGGATTTTTCCAACTTTTACATATATTTTGTCAAGAACTGCTCAAAAACTGTTTCCAGGTACCCAGCCTGTTGTATAACACACCAGCTCCCTGAAGATGCAGCCGACTCTGCCACCAAAAGAATCCACACCAGCAGCTGCCTTGGGCCCCCCAGGCAGGAAAGCGCCTCGTTGCTGAGGGTTGCTGAGGTTCACGTGCTCAGCCCCGCAGCTGGGGCTGTTCTCCATGACACCGACATCTCCAAAAGTCACAATGTGACATTCACTGTCCAAAAAGGCTGCAAACCCAACGATACCTCAGCCTGCCTGGCACCTCTCAAAGCACCATTCCAAGTCTGTCAAGTCACCAGCGTCAAAGACTCGCTATCTAGCATTACAGAAATTAAACCAGAGAATTTTTACAGCACCAAAATGAAGGCTAAAATGATTTCAAATCCTCATTTGAAATTCCACATCACAGAGACATTCTTGCTTCTGAAGCACTCAATCTATCACCCAGTCAACTAAACTTTGGGGCAATTTACCTGGCACAGGTCACTTGGAAACTTCAAAACTATCCAGTTCCACCCCCAAAACTCGCAGCGCCAAAGGACAGGCTGGCACATTGACTCTTGTGACATGCTACTACCCACTAGACTGCAGAGCACCATCCTCCTCAGCTCTGCACTGCCTCCCTGCAACCAGCCTCTGACGGGTTTTCCCCTCAACAGCCTGGTCCTGTAGCCAGCAGTTCCTGAAGTCCAGCTTCAGCCCACGTGTGCAGATCACCAATGCAAAAGAAAATGCCCATTTCCAGATTTCTGGCACTACCAGCCAGCCAGGTTCCCACTGCAGATCCCCGAGCACCGCCCTGACCAAGCGCTGAAGGAGCCGAACGCCTGGCACAGCCCGTCCTCACCCAGACTGACTGAACCGGCCCCACGAATGCGCCCTACAGAGCCCATCAAAGCCAAGCAGGGCTCACTCCTGCCATCCCTGAAACAGCCTGCAGCCAGCCCAGCCCATTTCATTTTCACCGCACAGATTCACCTGCAACTCCACCCTTGGCAACAAAAGGCTCCTCGAGTCTCCGGAGAGCAAACCTCGCTGCACAGGATCCCTGTGACAGCTCCTGAGCAGAAAGCCCCTGGCAGTCGGGCCAAGGTGTGGATTTCAGGCTAACTGCACCTCCAGGAAGCTCATCAGTGAGAGGTAACTTAGCAAAGGACAGCGTACGGCCACGCTCTGCAATGGGTCAGAGCGCCCAGGCTTGGAGTCGAGAGCGTGGAGGTACAATAGCCCACTACCTGCCTGCTACTGCCATTTGCAGAGTCAAATCTGCCAGCGCAGGGCCTGGCAGCAGCAGGAGGAATACCCGCTGAGCCCCTTCTGCTGCTCGGCCTCCTCTCCAGCTGCAGCTCTGCACGGCCTTTTGTTCCCACTTGCTCAGTTGTGGCTTCCACAGTCCCTGCACCAAATCCTGCTCCTGTACCGAGGTCTTCCCGACCTTGAGCGCAGCTCTGGCTGCTGCCCTGCTGTTACAGCAGCACATCCACCACCTCGTCTGGGCCCTGCTCTCAGCCTGCCTTGGCTAAAGCACCTGGTTCCTCGCTCTGCTGCTGACTCCAGCGTGCTCATGGCTGCTGGTGGTCACTGGGACGCTGAGCAAGGAGCAGCTCAGGTATCTACCCACGGCAAAGTGCTGCCGGGTAAAGTCCTTGCCCTGGCCAGAGCAAGGAGCAGCTTTCCAGGAGCAAAGTCATGTCACTTTTAGATGAGATGCACCATGTTGAATGATATATCAGAGCAGAGGAAAAGGCCAGAGAGGAAAACCCTGCTGCCAGAGCTCAGGCTCCAGGAGTGAGGTGTACGGGTGAAACTGGAGCCACAAACCTCTTCCACCTTGCGTGGATGTATTCCTTCCTCACACCTTACCCTGCCTTACGTACCACTTGTGCAGGGAAGAAAACACGGTGGGAAAGAACATGAAAGTGAGGTAAAACAGCAGTGACGGCACGTGAGGGGAGGACAAGAGGTGGCCACACACCAGTCCACCTTGCAAGCAGCTGCAACCAAGTGACTGAGTGACTGGCTCTGCTACCCTAACACAGGAGCAGGATGTGCACAGAGCATGAGCGTGCCTGTCGCTTCCCCACTTACTGACCCACATTATACCCAGGGCTGAAATTTAGGTGCCTGCTGGAAAATTTTTTCCAGTCCCTCCAGACAAGACATTAGGACGTACCACTCCTCTGGTTTGGGGTACACGGTGTGCCTCAGCGCGTTGTCCGGGTCGTACTCAAAGGCTACGCCTGCCGTGGGGTTCCACTTGGCGTGCTCCTTGCCAAAGCCCTTCTTGGCGTAAGCTCGCAGTCTCAGCTCCTGGCCCTTGCGCAGCTTCACAATGAGGATGTCTGCGGAAAAGCACATCCCCGTCTAAGACTGCAGAGGAGAAATGAGCATGCAGGATCCCATGAGGGCAAAGGCAGGAATTTTTAGTGCCCAGAAAGATGTCACCAGATGCCAGGGTTCGCTTGGATTCCTAGAGGGGCTCATTGGGTCCCCAGAGTAGCTGGGAAACATCTTGCTAAGTAAAGAGGAAGAGCACACAAGCCCAGAGGCACAGCTCAGGCCCCAGGCAGCAGCAGACAGCACAGCATTCCTCATCTTTGCTGCCTCTAATCTCTCACAAGGAGAGAGAGAGAAGCACCCTCTGACACAGGACTTTAGTTCTGGGGATAACCTTTAAGCGGCATTAAGAAAAAATGCCAACCCCACTGACAAAGTGATGCCAGGGCCTCTCAGCTGTCAGCTTTACAGCTGCCTCATGGTTACACAACTAGTAAAGGAAGAACGAGTTCAAAGAGCCTGAAAGAAAAATTAATTTCCTCTTCCAGCTCTTCTTCCCAGTGAATTCCCCTTACCGTCCTGCTCCACATAGTCATTGGGGTCGTTGTCTCTGCTCCGAGATGTTACCTGCAGAAGAACAAAAGCAAGCGAATTAACGGCAAGATTGACTTTTTTCCCCCTATCAAACAGCAGTTGCCTACAAAAATTAGAGACTGCAAAGAATCACTCCAGGGTGATTTACAGCCACAAATCCAGCCCACTGCTATTTAACGGAAATTGGGACAATTCAGGCAGCTGCAGCTCGGCACATGATATCCCACGCCACCAGCCTGCTTGCCTCCCAAGCTGCTCTCCTCCACCAGCCCACCCCAGTGCCACTGTGTGGTTCTGCAATGCAGCCCAGTCACTCCCAGCACCTGAGCCAAGGCAAGCAAGAGACAGCGGGCTACAGCGAGGCTTTAACCAGGCTGACACTGTCACCAGCCACCAGAAGCAGCCCCCAGGGTGTGGTGACACCTGGATGCAGCCTCAAATAGCATTTTAAAACATTCTCTATTAAGTCTCTTTGCATTTGTTCTGCTTTGGCTCTGCTGATCCTCCCCAAGGCGACTGGGCAAGAATGGTTTGGCAGCACTGCCCCGGCCCGGGCTCCTCATGCCTTGCTGCGCTGAGCCAGGAACCAGAAAACCAGAGGCCTCTGGGTTGCTGCCACGCCTTCAAAGAGGCCAACCCTGCCTGAGCGCCAGCAGCAAGCAGGCAGGAGAAGGTGGTGACATGGCAGCAGGACACAAGCGCACACGCTCCGAGTGATTGAGGCGAGATGGAGGGGCCACGCTAGAGCTCCCCAAGAGCTGGAGATGAGGGGTGCAGGATGAGGCTCTAACAAGGCCAGACGGCTTTGACATGCTGTCAGACAGCAAGCAAAGGGCAACAAGGTGAAGAAGGGGAGGGCACTGGCACCCACTGCTGTAACTGCAGACACTCCTGCTTTGCTCCCCCACTACGCTTTAAGTGGGGCTTTATGCAACGTGAAATGTGTTCAAAGGCCTTGTTTTGTCCACATCCCGTGTGTTCGCCACCAAATGGGAACACAGAGAGGGCACTCGCTGACAAGCAGAGGGATTGCACTGACCGGTATGACCCGGGGATTGTTGGAGATGAGATCACGTGATGTGACGTGACGAGTCTGGTCTTCATTACACCGGACGTCAAGGGTGAACTCCACAGAGCACTCTGGACAGAACTCATCACATGTGCAGTCCTGGGACAGACACAGGGCAAGACCTTTAGGCCAAACATCTCCCAGCAAGAAATTAATAACGTTTCCCATCAGATCAGACACCCACCACCACCACCACAATAAACACCCACAACGTTTTGCTTGACTCACTCTGGAATATTGCATCTTATCCACAATGTCATCGCTGGTGAGCGGGATGAGACCTGTTGGAAGAAGGAAATCGGGGGAATGTCTGAGTGAGACCACGGGAGCACCAAACCTCCTGCCGAGACAGGCAGAGGGCCAGGAGCCTCCTGACAAGGGTGCTTCAGGCGCCTCCGGGCTGATTTTGCCCACGGTATGAGCCTTGTTGCACATCTTCATCTTCCTCCTCCCGCCCAGCACTCACCCAGCCTGTGCGCAATGAATTCGTCATGGAGCACGGAGGAGTTGGCGTCTATCTGGACCCAGTCGATGGCTGCAGAAAGGAAAAAGTCACAAGCTGAGAAATGTTTCTGTAGGGAACAGCCGAGCAGTTCCTGAGGGGACAGAGAACACGAGGGAGACCCCAGAGAGGCGGGGAGAGCAGCCGGTGACACACAGCACGGGCTGAGCACGGGGAAGGCGAGCTGGGACAGCCCGAGATACCGGAGACAACGGCGGGAAGCCACGAGGGACCGCGGGCACCGGGAAGCGAAGGCTGTACCTATGATGGGGACCTCGGCGATGAAC